ACCATAAGACTAGATGTCTCTAGGAAAGGAAAATTGGGTGACTATGGAAGATAGAACTGAAAAGGTAAATTACCTTTCACTGAAAATCCCTTTGTAAATTTTCAATTTTGTAACATGTGTTATGATTTTAAAAATGAAAAATATAAAATGCTTCTGGAGGAAATCAGTGTTATGAATTCTCTAACTTATTTCAAATACTTTAAAAGCAGCATGAAGTGAATATGGCAAAATGTGGTAGAACATAGATTACTGGTATTTACAAGGTCAGAGTTCTTATCTCCTTATACTCTGTATGCTTACAATGTATTAATTATGAATTTTTATAAAAATCAGAACAGAGGAAGTCTTTCATTGCCAAGAACAACTTAAAATAAATGAATTACACATGCTTAAGAATTCATTAGGAAAAAACCACAAGGGAATGTAGAAAAAATAAATAAATTAAAACATTAAAAAGATACACTGATAAGTAATACCAGAGAGCTGACTGGGGAACAGGGGAATAGACAGCTAGTGATACTAAAAATCCATGAGTCAAACTCACTACATTAAAAAAGACATAGCAGAAATAACCAAAATGGATGAAAATGGATATTAGCTGAAATGAGAGAAATTAATGAACATTTTGTATTACTTCATTCTACTGTGTTTTTCTACTAGGAAACAAGTTACATGTAAGGTATAAAACAAAAAATAAGCAATAACCATAGAAAATGTGAAAACCACTAAAAACAAAGGAGAGTTCTATTCCAAAACACCACAAACAAAGGAGACTTCAGATGATTTAAATTATGTGTTTGCTTAACTGCTGATGAAAGCTAAAGCTTTCAACCTGTTCTACAGCATAGAATAAAAAGAAAATCCTAAAATTATTTAAACACAATCAGAAAATCTAATATACAAACATGACAAAAATAGAACAAAAAATAAAATTACAGATAAATTTCAGTTAGCAGTTTGCCTGCAAAAATTCCAAATCAAACTAAGATACTCATAATTCAATAGTAAATTTAAAAAGCAACACTTTTTTAACCAAAAGGAGTTTGTTGAATGAACAATAAAAGGAACAAAAAAATTTCAACACTAAAAATGGACTATTTCACAATGACAAAAGTTTAAAGAGTTTAATTGTTTATGCAAAAAGCATTTGGTTACATCTACCACTTGGTTTTGATTAAAATTCCTTAAGAAATATATAAAAGGTAAGAGACTTTACCTAATATAATATATAAGAATCTCAAATTTAAAGTTAGCATTTTGATGACTTAGACCATTTACATCAAAATAACTTACCTATTGGAATTAAGACCTGAACCTGATACCACCTCCAGTAGGGTCTTATAAACAAGACAGAACTGTAAACCAACAAATGCACTCAGTTTGTTCATCTATGCGTACAGTTCTTCTATCATTGATAACATACTATTCACATAGGGAAATAGCTCATTCATCAGACAAAAATTTGATTATATAAATTCAATCAATGTTTTCATCTTACTCTTTCACCAAGTTTAAACTCTCACAGGATGAATTTTGCCCACTCCTAACCAGTTCCTTGCTTCCCTGGTGACTTAGTGGTAAAGAAAACCACCTGCCAATGCAGGAGATGAAGATTCAATTCCTGGGTTGGGAATATCCCCTGGAGAAGGAAATGGCAACCCACTCCAGTATTCTTGTCTGGGAAATCCCATGAACAGAGGAGCTATGGGGTTGCAAAAGAGTTAGATGTGACTTAGTGACTAAACAACAAGACAAGTTCTCTGCCTTGAAAATTCTACCCTAAACCATCATCCCATCCCTCACGATCTTAATTTCCTGCTTTTGAAATACTACTAAACCTTGTCAAAGTGCTGTTTTCCCTTTCTGCTGTAGTTTTAATAAACTCAACTTTGCTTGCTCTTAGCTGTCTCTGAAAATCTTTTTGGGTAATAGACCAGAAACAACATGCTAGTCAAACCAAGAAGGGTCCATTAAAACCTAACTAAATCAAGGGTGGGTGATATTTCCACAATTGTTGAAGTGCTCTGAAACTACCAGTCAGTAAATTTTATCAACATAACTAAAATCCAGATAATCTGGGAGAGAAGAATCACAACTATTAGTATTTTCAAAGGATTTAGTATGTAATTTGAAAAAAAAAAAAGAAACTCCATGAAAAAGAGGAAGGAGACCACTTACCCCTAAAACAACACAAAACTTTTCAGATACAGAAAAATTATCAAGTAAGAAAATAAACTGAAAGAAGATACTCCTGACACAGAGTGAAAATATTAACAATAATTAAAATTATTGAATAAAAAGAAGGACATACCTTATCCTTGAATAGGAAGACTATTATTAAAAACCAATTCTCCCCTAAATTCATTTATTAAAAGTTGATGAAATTGCAGTCTAAACTGTAATTTCTTCTAACGAGAAGACACGAGACAGGAGGCAGAAGAAGAGACACACAGACCCACAGAACAAAAATGACGTCCGTCACAGATGAGAGTACAGCACAGGTGCAAGATGGCGGTACAGACAAATGGGCAATTATTGGCAAATAATCGCAGGTAATGGCAAATAACTTGGCAACTTTAAGATTCCAAATAAAAAATTTCTGTGATTTAAGAACTTGAATTAAAAAAACACAAAAGAACTAGAAGTTAACATAGGTGAAGAGTTCTATGGGATAAGTATAAATATCTTTCCAAGATGACATGAACTCAGAAGCCATAGAAGTAAACATGGTTATACCTGGACATATAACAATCAAATACATTCTTATAACAAAAATGAAGCTTAAAAGTGTGTAAAAAATATCTGCAATGCGTGACAATCCAAAGCTTATTCCCCCAATAAGAAATGAGCTCTTTGAAATCAGTGAAGGACTAAAACCTCCCCACAGCCCCAAAATTGGACATAAAAAGAAAACAAAAAATACAGATGGCTAATAAACATATGAAAAAATGATCAAACTCAAAAACAAAAGAAGTACAATTTAAGACAATAGTTTGGGCTATCACACTGGCAAAGGTTTCAAATATTCATAAAATTCATTATCTGTGAGATTGTGGGAAAGTTGGCAATCTCATTCATTGTCATTTGAGGATCAAGTTGTTACCATGTATTTAAGGAAATCTTGTGGTCATTTTCAAAATTTGAAATATGCATATACTTAATCCCAGTATTTTAACTGTTAAGTAATTTATTATGATATAATAGACAAATGCAAATTATTGATATATAGGGAGGTTCATTGCACAGAAATTTGGAACTAACATAAATATCTATGAATAAGAAATGTTTGAAACATTTAATTATATTTCATGTACAAAACAATCATGCAGTCATTCAAGAGATGACACAGATATGTATCACTGAAACAGAAAAAAAGGGCATTGAAAAAACTGTTAAATGAAAGCAAATTTGCAGAATAATGTGTACAATATAGCTCTACTTCCAGAACCCCCTAAAATAGCTTGTGTCTGTGTGTGCGCATCTATATGCTTAAAGAAGGCACACAACTCCCTTAATAGAGGAAAACTTGGAGATAGGGTTAGGAGAGAAAAGGGCACTTAATTTATATATTAGATGTTTAAATATGCTTTGAATTTTTGAAAAAAAATTAATAGATCTTATTTTTTAAATTTACTACATGGCAAATGAAAATCATAAATGTATATTTATGGGAATACTGAGCAATTCCATCATTTTGAGTTTCTTGTGCAATATAATTTCCTCTACTGAGGCTCCTGGGATTGAGTCAAGTGGAAGCAAGGGAAACAGTCACCATGCCCAAATTAAAGTCTCATCGATGATATCCCAACATGAGCATTTCTCAGTTAACCATTTCTTATCTGCAGGAGGTATCCACTGCAACATAGGAAAGAGAAGAGTTTCCAAGCACAAAGAAGACTGTGTCACTGTATTGGAGAAGCTGGTGGCAGAAGTAATGGCACCTACAGTAACAAATCCACCTTGTCTCTGTGGTCATCACCTGCAAGGACATAGTGGGGAAAATTGGCAAAGGTGAGGCACACATTTTCTCAGGAGCCTGTCTGAGGGCTATGAAGTCCTTGTACACTCTTCTTCTATGTGTTCTGGAACAAATATATCCAGAATACACAGAGAAAGCCACATTTTCAGCAGCTGGGTACCTGCTATGGCCAGAAAAATAACTAAGATTTCTAAAAATCAAGGATGCCAAACACTGGTGATACATTTTCTCTTTTGCTTGGCCAACAAATGGAGATCTCCAACTATTTCAGACTTTTATCTGTCTCTTTCCCTCTGAATTTGACTCATTAAAGTGCTAGTGATTCATTCATTGAATCAATTATTTCAGGCAAAATTACTTGTCTACCCTTCAGTCTAATGATTACTGAGAATTACTACATCTCATGAATATAATAATTCTCTGGTAACACAACAGATCCAGCAAAGAAGTTTAGTTTGTGTGTGTGTGTGTGTGTGTGTGTGTGTGTTAGTTGCTCAGTCATGTCTGACTCTTTGTGACCCCATGGACTGTAGCTCACCAGGCTCCTCTACCCATGGAATTCTTGAGGCAAGAATAGTGGAGTGGGTTGCCATTCCCTTCTCCAGGGGATCTTCCTGACCCAAGGCTTGAACCCAGTCTCCCGCATTGCGAGCAGATTCTTTTACCATCTGAGCCCCCAGGGAAGCCCGAGTTTACTTTACTAGATAAGAAAAGTTAAGGAAATATTCTATATTAACTGTAAATGTACTGAGATGTAGAAAAACTATGAAGGTATATAAGAAAAGCCGTATCTCCTAACTCATTACACAATCTAGCCTTTCAATGAGCATGTAGCCGCAAGACATGAATCTTCAGAAAACGGACACCTAACTTCCTTCACAGGTGTGGCTGCCCCTGGAAAGCGAGGACTGTGCTGACGAAACCCTTACCTTCGGCGGGCAGCCCTCAGACAGGAGGGAGGCAGAGGCTCTGTCTGAAGAGGCTTCCTTCAGGCGTTGCTGGTGTCACTCATCCCAGGAAGTCACCTTCGAGGGGTGGAGGGGGAGAAACACCACTTCCAGTGAAAAAGGCGGCTCGGCTGAAGTTGGGAAGTCACCCCTTTTCCATACTGATTTCTTTTGGAAGCTGCTTCCTGCTCTGTTATACAGCACTGAAATTACAGCTAGCTGCTCATAACTCTACACATTTCAATATCAGGACCTTGTATCAGAGCCTTTCTCTCTGGTGCTTTTCCAAAACTGACTGAATTACCTGGATCCCACTGAAAATTATGTTTCTTTTCTATCGTTTATTATTTGTTCTGCTTAGATGGCCAGGTTATTTATAAAATCACTCTATATCATCTACTCATATATCTATTCTCAATAAAGTTTGATGAGAGCCTACTCTTTCATAACCCATTAGGAGCTTGTGTAACAAAAATGAACTTAAAAGCGTCATGCCATTAAAATTAAAACCCCATTTGGTGAATCAATCATACAAAACAAAAACAAAAACAAAAACAACTGAGAAGTAACTTAGCAAATGGTCTTACAGAGGGAGATTCACTGATAGCGATGTGAGTCTAAGTATCAGTAGCATGTCACTGAGCTTAAAGTGCAACCAGACTGCTGCTTTCCTCTATAACCACCAGCCCTCAGGAAAGCAAAACGAGACAAACAATAGCATTCCTCATGGAATCTACAGAATCAGCAGTGATGCTTCCTCTCTAATTTCTAAGTTTAGTGATTTATGTCTTGTCTAACTAGTGAAAGTGAAAGTCGCTCAGTCGTGTCTGACTCTTTGCAAACCCATGGACTATACAGTCCATCGATTTCTCCAGGCCAAGGTACTGGAGTGGGTAGTGGTTCTCCTCTCCAAGGGATCATCCCAACCCAGGGATCGAACCCAGGTCTCCCACATTCCAGGCAGATTCTTTACCAACTGAGCCACCAGGGAAGCCCAAGAATACCGGAGTGGGGAGCCTATTCCTTCTCAGCAGATCTTCCCAACCCAGGATTCAAACTGGGGTGTCCTGCATTGCAGGTGGGTACTTTACCAGCTGAGCTACTAGGGAAGCCCCCTGTCTAACTAAAGACTTGTCAGTTTCATCAATCTGCAGAAATCTACCTTTTGGTTTCATGGGTTTTCCCTATAGTTATGCTGGGTTTTACCATTATGTCATTGACCTTTGCTCAAAAATTTATTATTTACTTTGGGTATTCTCTGAATGATATAATTAATAACCTTTTTCTTTCAAATTGTTTGTTTTTTGTTCTGAAGTATCTCTCTTAGAAGCAATGTGTACCTGCTTAATTTTTTAAATGAAATCTTCCAGTTTCTGTCTTTTAAATTTAATATAATTGTCATGTGGTTAGATTTTTGTCCTCCATTTTCCTATTCATTTTCTAGATGTCTTTCTCTGTTCATTCTAAGCTGCCTTGTTGTATTAAATAGACACTTCTTAAAGGACTATTTTAATTAGTTGGTATCTTTTTAAAAATATTTTTGAGTTATTTGCTTAGTATTGACCCTAGGGTTTATAAGAGGCACCTCAAATTATCACAGTCTATTTCAGAATAACACGAATTTTGTTACCTAACCTTTTATATATGTTAAACTATCAGAGAAATGATTCTATCACTTCTTTGGTTCAGATTTTCCAACAGATCAATGACTGAAACCGTCTTTGGCCGTGGCATGTTTATAAAAGCAACTATGAGCCTGAGATATGTGACAGTCACTGAACACTAAAGATCCCACCACCACTGGACATATAGGCATGCTAACAAGTCATGGAGACCAGCAAGCACAATCAGTGATACAGTTTCATGTTTGACTAATGCAGACAGAGTCTCACTGTCACTGTAATTCCCTAAAAGGGTATCAGTGTCCTTTAGGACAAAATGCTTACCTTTGTGAGAATTCACACAGGCCTTTGAGGATGGAGGCAGAATTATTCCAACACTTTTCTTCATGTCTCATCTCAAGGGGAAGGAATAAGCTAATCCACATGAAACCTAGTTTTTGGAACATGTCAGTCTGTGGGAAAGAATAAATGTGCATCTAGATGAGAAGTAGGATAAGTTCATTTGTCAGCATATACAAGTCAGGAGTTTCACTATGTATATACATGTAATACATATAATCACTCTTCTGAGATACTTCTGATATTATTAAAAAGACTGATAGTGAAAAAATTTGGGCTAGAAAAGTGCCTCGTATGACTCACCAGATTATTAATGCTTCACACCCTTTGGATTAACAGACACCTCATAAAAGCAATAAAATTCTAAACTGCTTAATAACATAGTAAAAATAATCTAGCAACATACATTTATTACAACTGGATATTACCTCTAGAAAGCATTGCTGTGAATTTTCCCAGAGAAAGGAGCTTGTACAAGTGATGAAAACAGCACTTATTTGGGGTGGCAGCAGAATTCCAAGCAGCAAAATATCCCTTCTCTCTAACATCACTTCCAGTCTACAAAGCACAAAGGAAGTCAGGGAGTTGAGAAATAAAATATTCTTAATGGAATATCTATAACAAGCTGTTATAAGAAATTCATCAAAGATATTCATTGGGCAGTCAACATGACAAAAACAATAAATGCTCACTCTTTGGAACATATTTGTTTAGAAATATTTTTTCTAAGGCATTGGTCTTCTTAGATCTTTCTTTAAGCATATTAGAAATTCCACTTGGGGTATATAAAAGTGGCTAAGGAAATCCATGAAAAAAAAAAACAAACTAAAAACAAGAACTGGAAATTTAATCATTTCACATCTGAAAATGTTTAATGTAGTATGTAGTTGAAGCCAGTACTCACATGTAACTCTCTTGGTTGATGGAAAAAAAAGAAACAAAGAAACAATGATTCAATCCTAGTGACTGGCTGGCAAGCAAATTAAAATATATTGTGAAGGTCTTACATACAGTAATTACTTTTAAATTACCATATATTTTTGTCTAAGTTACTGAAGAAAAATTAAAATTCATTATGTCTGTATTTTGACCATCTTTAAATAGCCCTTACGAGAGGACTCCAGCCGCTTAGACAGCTATGTGAATGGCTCAAGTGTAGGTACAACCATACTTAGAATTTTCAATGCTCATGTGCTAATTCTCCAGGGTAGTCATGTATGGATGTGAGAATTGGAGTATAAAGAAAGCTGAGCGTTGAAGAATTGATGCTTTTTTTTAAAAAAATAATTGTAAATTATTGTCCAAATAACTTTTTGAAGCATGATTCGAGTGTGTTTACTCCACACTTATTTTTTTTTTCATTTATTTTTATTAGTTGGAGGCTAATTACTTTACAATATTGTAGTGGGTTTTGTCATACATTGACATGAATCAGCCATGGATTTACATGTATTCCCCATCGCGATCCCCCCTCCCATCTCCCTCTCTACCCGATCCCTCTGGGTCTTCCCAGTGCACCAGGCCCAAGCACTTGTCTCATACATCCAACCTGCGCTGGTGATCTGTTTCACCATAGATAATATACATGTTTCGATGCTGTTCTCTCGAAACATCCCACCCTCGCCTTCTCCCACAGAGTCCAAAAGTCTGTTCTATACATCTGTGTCTCTTTTTCTGTTTTGCATATAGGGTTATCATTACCATCTTTCTAAATTCCATATATATGTGAGCCATTAAAAAGAATTCATTTGAATCAGTTCTAATGAGATGGATGAAACTGGAGCCCATTATACAGAGTGAAGTAAGCCAGAAAGATAAAGAACATTACAGCATACTAACACATATATATGGAATTGATGCTTTTAAACTGTGTTGTTGAAGCCTCTTGAGAGTCCCTTGGACTGCAAGGAGATCCAACCAGTCTATCCTAAAGGAAATCAGTCCTGAATATTCATTGGAAGGACTGATGCTGAAGCTGAAGCTCCAATTCTTTGGCCACCTGATGCAAAGAACTTACTCATTGGAAAAAACCCTGATGCTGGGAAAGGTTGAAGGTGGGAGAAGGGGATGACAGAGGATGAGATGGTTGGATGGCATCACTGACTCCATGGACATGAGTTTGAGTAAACTCTGGGAGTTGGAGATGGACAGGGAGGCCTGGTGTACTGCAGTCCATGGGGTCGCAAAGAGTCAGACATGACTGAGTGACTGAACTGAACTGAACTGAGAAACTGTACAGTTCAATCCCTTTAATGCATGCAAGAAGCTAAACTTCTCAATATCACAGTTCTTCCTGGTACCATACAAATGAAATCACTGATCTCCTTCTTGTAAATATTTTTCTTAGGGTGGCTATCTATATAAGACCTCAGTTTCTCAGAAGTAATTATCTAACTCATTTTGTTCATATTTTTAAATGAGATCAATTATTATAGCAATTGATACACATATGAATTTCTAAAATATGGCACTGCTCGCCTCAGAAGGTATAAGTCCAAAGGTTATCACTTATCCACCCTACACAGTTACGGAGATTAGACCCCAGATCAGTGATCCAGGCCCCTAAGGATGAGCCTTTCCTTCATGTTGTATCTCAAGGGGAAGGAATAAACTTGAGCTCTATCCTTGTTACCTTGTGGGAACAGAATAAAACTGTGGAAAGATTAGAAATAAACCTGTCCATTGGTCTGTCAGGCACAAGACAGTAGGGTTCAATAATGTAACTGCCTATTAAATAAGCATTACTTTGCTAGAATGTTTCCAATATTATTCCATCAATATTAATTGTGTTAGGCTCTGGTCTCCATAAGAGCAAATATTGTCCAACATTTTCTGCCAGACAAATTAAATGTGCAATAAGACTGTCTGAACATACTTAAAGTTCCAGGAAAATGTTGACCTGGTGAATAATTCAGTCACAACAATGCACATATAATGTATGTATGTATATATATATATATATATATATATACTCTGTAAACTAATCTTCAGAATTATTTTATCGTCAAAGGTGATCCAATGGATTGGGGAGGACTAACCTGAAAAAAGCCATGATAGGGAAATAAAGAACATTATCTAAAAATCACTTATAGCACTTGACTGAGCTCAGGAACATAGCAATTTGCAGGGGATGCACAGGGTTACACTACGTCTGATGGTATAGTCACAGCAAAGCAGGCAAGACTCACACAGGCACAATAGTTACGGGCATGTGACTGAGAGGGTGGGAGTGTGCAGAGAGGAAAAGTTAGACACTGAGATCTCTCACCATGAAATACTTCCCATCCCATCGTTACAATGATGCTCACCAGGCCACACTGCTGAGGATTCAGTGATATTTGGGCAAGCACATCCCTCAGTAGAAAAAATTTCTCTCTGCCAAACTGGTAAGGAAAAGCCTTGCCATTGTTTCCATGCTTAATTTCTATATGAACCATCAGCAGGAAGGTGGAAAAAATAAAAAATTCTGGAAAAGTGCAAAAAAAAACCTCAAAGAATCACCAGATTATTAAGTACTCAAACTGTTTAAACGGACAGACTGTACAACACCAATTAAAATTTTCATTATTTAAAAAATAATAATTACTCAGGAATTTATAAAAGATTAGATGTTTCATTGAGAGTGCATTATTGGATTTCTTCTTAGATAAGCAGTTGGTAGAAGCGACAAAAACCAACTTTCTTTGGTAGGATAAAAATTCTATGCAATTGAAATATTACTTCCAACTTACAAACCACAGAGGAAATTAGAGGAGTTGAAAAAGAAAATCTTCCAAACTGAATATTAATTGATCTGAGATTTAATTATATAGATTTTTTGGCCACTTGTGTGACAAGAATAAAAATACACTTTGTTCCATGGAAGAGGAGAGTATAGAAAGTCATCTGTTCTAAGACCTGGTCAAAGTCTCTCCAAAGGACCCTTAGAATCACTCATTAAAACTGGGATTTCCCTTAAAACATATGAAACAGACTGAGGGAATATGAATATTAACCTATAAAATGTCAAGAATTGGAAATGCAATGACCTCATAATTAAAAGTATTTAATGTAGCATATACTTGACCCCATCACTCAAATGTCTAGAAAATTTTGTATTTGAGTGAGAAGTAAAACAACTGTATGAATTTTTGTGACAGCTAAAAATCTAATGAGCCAACTCATTAGTAAAGACCCTGATGCTGGGGAAAATTGAAGGCAGGAGGAGAAGGGGACAACAGAGGACAAGATGGTTGGATGGCATCATTGACTTAATACACATGAGTTTCAGCAAGCTTCAGTAAATGGTGAAAGACAGGGAAGCCTGGTGTGCTACAGTCCATGGCGTCACAAAGAGCCAGAAGCAACTGAACAATAACAACAACAACAATCAAATGCCCAGAGTATAATAATTCTGAGTAAATGGGTGCTATTAGCCAAGCACTACAAGAGCTTCCATCTCTCCTTAAACCAGACACTTATAGATCTCTGTACAGCTCATTTCCCTTAATATATACTATCAGGTGACCTTTCAAACACTTCATCCTAGTTGGTGCTTCTACTAGACCGAGCTCCCTCCACATTTCTTGTCTAGCACGGTCCCTGGGAGGGACCTCAGCTGACAAGTGATTTTTGTCACTCAGTTTGTTCATATTCCAATGAGGAAGTCATCATTAATCCAGGCACATTAGTGAAAGGGACTTTGATCCTAAGATATATGGCAGACTCTGAGCACTCAGGGTTCTGACACCCTCAGACACATTGACCCACAGTATTCAATAATGGAGACCATTCACCACAGTCAATGACAGCCCCATGACTGACTAGCACAGCTAGAATCTCATTGTCATATTATGAGTGTTACACGGTCTTAAAAGGAATGTCAGTACTTTTCAGACAAAATGCTTACTGATGTTACAATTCCCATCAGCTCTTGAGGATGAGATGGTAAAATTATTTTCAATACTTCCCTTCATGCCACTTCTCAAGAAGAAGGGACAAATTCTTTCAAATGAAACTCAACTAATGGTCCATATAGAGTAAAAATATGGAAAAATGAGATTATATATGTCTATTTATCAAACAAGCATAAGACAAGAGGGCTTATCATATACCTTCATATCAACTATACTCGTATTACTTTACTAGAATGTTTCTGATATTATTCAAAGGGAGAAAGCACAAAAATCTTGGAAATAAAGGAGACAAAATATTGGACACCTCACCAGATAATTAATAACTCACCTTATTTGGGTTAATAGACACTTCACAAAACCAATTATCGACTTGATTATAAAAGTATAATTAAAATAAGCCATAAAATGAAAATTTGTTTTAAAACTGTATTACCTTTAGAGTGCATTATTTTGTTCCATCCTAAGACAGGGAGCAGTTGAAAGTAACAAAATCAGCCTTTTTTTTTTTTTTATGGTAGTGAGGACTCCATGCAACTGAACTGAACTAAGGGACTGAACTGAACTGATTTCATGCAATTCCAAAGTCACTTCCATTTTTCAAAGCACAGAGGAAATCAAGGAAGTTGTGAAACAAAATATTTCCAATTGAATGCCAATTGATAA